CTCTCTCTCTCTCTCTCTCTCTCTCTCTCTCTCTCTCTCTCTCTCTCTCTCTCTCTCTCTCTCTCTCTCTCTTTCTTTTGAGTTGGACGTCTTAAGTGAACCTGGCGGGAGGCGGATGACGTTGATGGAAAACGTGGAGGAAGAGGAGAGGGAGGGGGAGGATAGACATCGATTCGACAGGGGCGACCTTTTTTTCATTCCCTGTTTTTTTGTCAGGACGGTCTCGTTTTGTTTTCTTGGAGGACTCCGGACAACGAAGACACTTGGGCACGTTGGGCGGGAGACCCATAATGAGGCGGAGGAGGAAGAGGAGAACGAGGGGCGGTGGGGAGGAGGATGAGCAGTAGTGAACATGAGTTGGGACAACGGGGAGGGCAAGCAGTATCGAAGAGGAGTTGGTGCAACGAGGGGCAAAGAGGAGGACAAGTGATAGAAGAGGAGGACGAGACAACGGGAAGGACGAGCGAGGCTGAAGAGGATTTTGGGCGACGAGGGGCAACGAGGAGGACGAGCGACATAAGAGGACAAGCCATATCGAAGAGGAGGACGAGGGGCAACGAGGAGGAGGACGAATGATATCAAGGAGGTGGAGGAGGAGAAGGAGGAGGAAGGGAGGCGAATGAGATGTGTACCTTCATTGATTCAATGCATGAATGATTGCAGTCGTGTATAATTGTTTTTTCTTTTTTGGATGTCCTGCAGTCGCGTTTCGGTTTATCAAAACTTTTTGCCATTTTTGCTGCGTGATGTTGTTGAATGATTGACTGATTGATTGATTGGTCGATTGACTGATTGATTGATGGTTGATTGGTTGGTTGATTGATTGATTGATTGATTGATTGATTGATTGATTGACCGGTTGATTGTTTGACCGATTGATTGATTGATTGATTGATTGATTGATTGATTGATTGGTTGGTTGGTTGATTGGTTGATTGAATGATTGGCCGAGGGAACTGAATCGTCAATGCTCCTGTTCATTAAGGTGGGATTAACGGACCCCATGTGGGGTGGCGAAATACTACCCGTTTTTTTTCAGGAGGGAACGATTTGTCAATGCCACCGTCAATGCCACCGTCAATGGCGCTGTCAATGGCGCCGTCAATGCCCCTTTTTTTCCAAGCCTGCTGTGGGGAGCGGAACTGCTGGCACTGTCATCTTTGTCATCTGATCTCGTGGAATTCCCAAGCCCACAGGGGTGGTGAAATGCTGCCCGTTTTTAACCTTGCATTCTTTGGGGAAAGGAACTGTCGGCTTTGTTCTCTTTGTCCCCGTGGCAGGTGGCGAAATGCCGCAGTCAATCAATCAATCAATTAATCGATCAATCATTCGAACAATCAACCAATCAATCAACCAACCAAATCGATTGATTGATTGATTGATTGATTGATTGATTGATTGATTGATTGAATGCTTGATTGATTGATTGATTGATTTTTGATTGATTGATTGAATGATTGAATGATTGAATGATTGAATGATTGATTGACTGATTGACTGATTGATTGATTGATTGATTGATTGATTGATTGATTGATTGATCGAATGATTGATTGATTGATCGAATGATTGATTGATTGACCAAATGATTGATTGATTGATCGAATGATTGATTGATTGATCGAATGATTGATTGATTGACTGATTGATTGATTGAGGTAGGGATAGGGGGAGGTAGAGAAAGAGCGGTGGGCGAGAGGGGGATGACCGACTCTAACAGTGTCATGGTTGTTCAACTTGGTTTCCCGCTTTCTTTGCCTCCAGGATGACTAAGAATGGTACTGAGTCTGTGAAGAGGCACTACACGGAGTTGGGCTTCATTGGAGATCCAAGTAAGGGGAAAAAGAAGCGGCGATGCAATTATTGCGACCAGATGGTGTCTGGCACTGCAACCAGAGCCCGACGACATTTTGTTGTGGCGTCACGGTGCAAAATCGAGCGGCTGAGAGGGGTTGTGTCGAAGGAGGACTACCGGCGGAGGGAGAGGGGGAAGAAGGCCGCATTGGAAGAGGTTGGGGCCCTTGGGGGTGCAGCCGCAGCGGGAATGGAGAGCTCTGAGGAGGACGAGAACACGCCTGGTGAGGTGATGGGAAACAAGACCACGGAAGTTGCTGCGTCCGGTTCGGGGGTGCAAGCGCGGCAGTCAACCATTGTCGACTGTGGGGCGGTTTTGACAAAACATGAGGAGACTCAGCGGAAGATCGACGATTGGATGACGGCGCACTGCATCCTATTCCACATGATGAGGAGTGAGGAATGGGAGACGATGGTGGAAGCGCTGAAGAATGCACACCCGTCCTTCCAATATGCAAGGTTTGAGAAGGCACTAACGACACGGGTCGAAAGCAAGAGGGCGCAGGTTGCAGCGAGGATGGAGGAATTGAGGAGGCAGTGGCCCATCACCGGTTGCATGTTGCAACTGGACGGATGGACCGACCGGCGGGCCAGGCCACACATCAACGTGATGGTGTCTTTCCCCAGGGGCGCCGTGTTTTGGAAGAGTGTCTGCATGAGCAACTGCGACAAGGGTGCTGCTGCATATCACTCCATCTTGAGGAGTGCGATAGAGGAGATAGGGGAGGATGCTGTAGTTGGTGTCATAATGGACAACGCTGCAGTTTGTGCGGCCGCAGGTCGCATGGTAGAGAGGGATTACCCACACATCTACTCCGGGCCTTGCGCAGCGCATTGCCTCGACCTCATGTTTGACGTTCTCGAAGATTCCGTGGGTAGAACATGCTGTGCAGCGGGCGTTGGACCTCGCGAAATTTCTCGTGAACCACGGACGGGTACATGACTTGTTGCACGATGAATCGAATGGCAAAGTTGTGGCAAGACCAGGTGCAACCCGTTTTGCCACAAACTTCATCACGGTTGACAGCCTGCAGCCGCTGTACCTGCCTCTCAAGTCGTGTGTGACGAAGCCAGCGTGGAAAAGTGGGATCGAGCTACCGGGTCAACGCCACTTGTTGAAGGCGGCGACGGATTCTATCCTCGACGACAGTTTCTGGGCTGGCATAGAAAAAGTGCAGGAGACGTCGAAAGAGTTGCTGGCCCTGTTGAAGTTGGTGGACAGACCTGGTCCAACAATCAGCAAGGTGTACGGGCGACTCGACGTTGCGGTAGAGAAGTTAAGGGCGAGTGAATTCTTCACCGATACCGAGAACGACGAGCTGGAGGAGATTGTCATGCGCCGCTGGAACACAATGAATTCCCCGCTGCATTGTGCGGCGATGTTTTTGGATTCGGAATACAAGACGACACAGCCGGAGAAGGACGCGGAGGTCTTAGATGGACTTTGGTCATGGGTGTATTCGTGGTGCAAGCCGTCAATGTACGTGGAGGTGGACGCGGAAGTGAACTGCTGGATTGAGGGCACAGGCAGGTTCAACTGTGAAGAGGCCAGGACAGCAGCACGAAGTTCACAACCCACAAGATGGTGGAAGAAATGGTGCAGCGACATGCCGCACCTCCAGAAGCAGGCAGTTCGCCTGCTTGGTCAAAGCTCCTCCTCCTCTGCCTGCGAAAGAAATTGGGGCCTTTTTGAGCGGATCCACTCCAAGGCCAGAAATGGGCTGTCGGTGAAGAAGTTGAGCACACTAGTTTACAACAGATGGAACCACCATCTGTTGGCCCGCTTAGCAAAATAGCTGGAAACTGGTGCTGGTGACATTCCATGGGAGGAGGATCGCGTACTCACGGAGGAGGAGCTTGCAGCAGATGCAAAAGAGCGGGTGGACAAGTGGCTAAACCGGCTGCGTGCAGCAAACGAAGCGGCTGAAGCGAACGATGACGAAGATGACAACAACGATGAGGACAATGATGAACCGGTCGTCGAAAATGCTTTTGCCGTCGATTATGACCCGCAAGAAGCACCGGTGTAACGAGAGTGAGGCTGAGGGTGAGCCGAGGGAGAGGAGAGAGAGAGGGAGAGAGTGAGAGCACACACACACACTCACTCACTCGACACGACGGACTCGGACTGAGGGTTGGACGCAGACACAGTGGCAAGGCACAAAGTCGAAGTCTTGGATTCCCAATGCCGAAACGGCAAGTCACACTGAGTACAAGTACAGCAGCAGAGAACTGGTACGAGACTGGCCCCCGTACCGTACGGGGAGCCGGTATAAGTACCGGTGACACGTACGGTACCAGGGGTATTTCTGCAARGGCCCCGAGGGCAGAACTGAAAAATGCAGTATTTGAAAGTGGCGCCCGAATTGCAGCATGGCGCCAGTTGTCCAAAATCCTACGGTACCAAAAGGAGGGGTTTGGAAAAAGGGTGCCAGGCCGAAAACGGGATGCAGCCGAAACAGCAAAAGATAGACCAGGGATCGAGCCCTGGCGAAGTCCGTAACAACCGGGGCAGTTGCGGCGGTGGAGGCTGTGCAGCGATCTCCTTCGGCACGAAGCAGAGCTCAACAATGCATGGAGGAAGACGACGCGGCCTTCCAAGTACCTCGCCAGGCAGCATCTCCGAAAGATGCAGCAGACGGTGAAGACCATGACGGCTGAGCACGCTGAGCAATATAGAGCTGCTCGTGCAAAGGCGATCGAACCTGCCACAAAAACGGCTAAGCGAGGGAGGGAGAGAGCGCGGAAAGCCCCAGTGCAGCAAGTTGATGATGCAGCAGCCCAGAGGGCAACAAATGGAGAACTGGAGGAGGGTGGTGGCAGCGGCTCCAATGCAGAAGCCACTGCACCAAAACGGGCGAAACGTGGGCAAGGTAGACCACGCAAGTCCCTTAAAGACATGGAGGAGGAGGAGGCAGCAGCGCAAATGGCAAGCGGCAGAAGGGATGGTGGCAGTGGCACACGTGATGCGAGTGAAGAGGATGGCAGTGATAGCCCTGCGGACAGGGAGTGTGGCATACTGCGTAGCCACACGGGCCCTGCAGGGCCCGTCCCGGACATTCAGCCTAAAAGCCTAAAACTTAGGGCTTACAGGCCCCGTTCGTTTCAGCCTGGATGCTGAAAAACGAGGGCCTGCAGGCCCTACCCCGTTTCAGCCTATTTCTGGGTCTTTTCAGACCCAGAGTTTTCAGCCTGAAACGGAGGGCCATTTTCAGGCCCTCATTGTTTCGACCTGCCCCTAAGACTCA